TTACATCTTAAATTGCCTTTTTATAGTAACGATTATAATGTGATATACGATAAAACAAATTAATCTACAATAATATTTTCAAAAATACTGTACAGTAAATACTCCATTCATAATATTTGTATTTGTAGTAATAACTGAAAATTCATAGTAGAATTTTAATAATGAATAACGCTATATCAAAGATATGAGTAATGTTTCATGTAGAAAAAAGCAGTCCATTATAAAAGCGCTGCCAAAAGTGAAGATTTATCTTCAAAATGAACGTTTTTTGGTTATATTTTTTTTGCAAAAATCTCTTTAAAACTATAATTTTGAAGTCTTATAAGGCTTTTAATGCTATACAAAATTTTTCAGAATTGGAATTTTTTAAACCTTCACAAAGAAACATTTTGAACAAAACTGTGAATTTAATAGGCAACGCATGGTAATGCTATTTCCATGACAGAAAATTTTTGATATTCTCAGTTTAAATTAATGGACTTGACGCATACGGCTTATGACATCATATATCAATTTTGCATATTATTAATTTTTCTTTTTGGTGTTTAATTGGGTTCGAATTGAAATCGTAATAATTTGGTTGGCTTCTAAATATTTTGGATTTTAAATCGCTCGTGAAGATTTTCTTTTTTATCAAATCTTTAAAATAAAGATTTTATTTAAAAAAAAATGAAAATATTTGTGCTAACCTATTAAGCAGCACTCACCCGCAGTAACCATGCAGGAAAAAAAAACAGTTCTTCTGTTTTAAATGAATTTAAAGAACTTTTTACAGCTCCATTATACTAGGAACTTGTTGTTCTGTAAATTCTCATTTTCATATTTGATTCTCAGATTCTTTTTTCACATTTGGAAATATTCTTACAAAAATCTTTCAAATATTATTTTGACCAATATAACTAGATTTCTGAGAATTATCGAAAACAAAAATTATATAGTAAAATTTTTATCAAATTTGTAATTTTAATTAAACAGACAGTCAAATTTACAGACAAATAAAAATATTTATAAAAATAATTTGAAAATGCAAATTATAATATACAAAATATTATAAATTAGATTTATATATATACATACATATATATTATTATTGCATACCAATAGCTTGCTTGTTTTTTTGTTTTTCTTTTTTTTTGCCTTGCTAAGCATACGTAAATTATATTTTAAAGAATTTGTACTTTTGCTCCTTTAAAGAATTTTTTAAAATGTTAATCAATTTTATTCTTACGTATTAAAAAATAAGTAAATACATATATGTACACATTTACATAATATTATTTAAAAAAAATAATGTTCATAACATATGTACGGTTGTGCATAACCTTCCAGCAGTCAATGTTCTCTTTAATCTTTCAAAATAGTCGATTTGAAAAAAAAAATTAAATAGCATCTTAGACATAATGTGTATCTAGTTATAATATGTGTGTATGTGTTAACATATTAACTTTGTATATATGTATGTACATATTTATGTATTAACGTATGTTACTTTTTTACCTGTACATACTTATTTTTCTTTATTTTTTTTTTTTAATTAATGTAATGTTAATATCTAAAAACACAAATATTTAATCCTTAAAAACTAAGAAATTAATTTTTTTTTTTGTTATTCAAGAAAAAAAAAATAACAGTTGAATAAACGGAAAAATCACAAAAAAAAAAAATACAAAAATTTCTATTTGTATCATGTGTGCCTATTCCTAACTGCCTATTTAAAATATTTCTTTTTATAAAAAATATTCAGTAGGAATCTTCATTACATGCATATATATATAAACTGTATATGTATATATGTATGTACTTACATCAAATGTAACCCAAACCAATATTTTGTGATATTCAATTTTTATAATTATAAAATAAATAAAAAAAAACAAAATATTTTATTTTCTCCTTTCTTTGTAAATATCTAATTTTGTATTAAAATCATAAAAACCGTAAAGTCTGTAAAACCGGATGCCTATACTGTTTTTAATGCACTATACACATATACATATATTTTTTATAGATTGTGAATTCATATATATTTCAAAGTAGCTAATTATGAACTAATTTGCAAAAGTTTTTATTTAAAAAAAGAATATCTAAATATTTTGAAAAATTTAATGCTCTTCTTATATCTTGTTATACACAACATAGTTGTCCGTAATGAAATGAGATATACATACATAATATGTGTATATGTAAGTATGTACAGTATTACTTGCATTTTTAAAAAACACATACGATAATAATATAATGTTAATAAAGCTGTTAATAATTTGTACAAATTTTTTAAGTGAATGAAACGTATCTTTAAAAAAAATGCATATTTTTAGGCGTTATTAATTTATTTCCTTCTTCCGACTTGGGAACTATAAGAGGCGCTTGAATAAATATCATAGCTGTCTATTAAGCTGTTTACTGAGACTGGATATATTTTCTTAAATGTATAAATATTTTATATTATAAAATAATAATCAAATTTTTCCGTTTGAAAAGCTGGAAAGGTTACATTAAATTCTATTATATAAACTAACGTTGACTTATATATGAACTGATACAAATTTTGACATTAAACTTAAAAATATATGTACCAAAATATTCAAAAAAATTAAACAAAAAAAAATTATATATGTAATGACCACATAATTATGTAAGGTTATATGAAAATCAATTGAATTAGTATTCCAATTATATACTCTTTAGTCCATTTAATATCCCTTAAACTTATTTATTAGCAATTAGATTATCTGATCCTCTTCAAGTATTACTTTTTTCTTTTTTTTTTTGTAGATTGGTAGATTCCAAGGGATTCCATTCGCACCCAATTGCAGTCTCCCCACGCTCCCGCTATCCCTGTTCCAAATATAAAACTGGGCCAGTAAAAAGCCAGCCGTCTCGATTCCCGCAGTTTATGGAGGTGAAACTTTACCGGCAATATCCAGTAAAAAAAATCGCAATAGCACGAACCCGGTTTCTATCCATCCGCAAAAATTTCGCGGTTAACTTTGCGGAGCGCGATAGAAGAAACTTCTTAAAAATATTAAATTATTGATTAAAAATATATGTTAAGAAATTTGCTTATTGTTCGGTCAATAGGTTTAATTTATAAGAAAATTAATTATATTTCATTTAATCAGAAATGATAAGACCAAACGCTATTATTGTTATTATGTAAAAATACCTCACATGTATACTTACCTGGGATAACCTTACCAAAATTTGTTTATCAAATTTTGAATACCAAAATTTTAGATATTAGATAACCATATTATGGAATATAACATACCTTTTTGCAAATTATATAGGTACATATACACACTCAAATATGAATATTACGAATATGAGTACTCAAATATGTATACAAAATAGGAAATAATAAAACTGAGAAAAATTTCTACTTGTTCTCCAAACAAAATTTTTCTAAAAAAAAAAAAAAAATATATGTTCGCAAAATTTCTTCGACTCTTAAAAATTATACCTAATCGGTAATATTCGGCAAAAGTTACAAATATATGCATTTTAATATTTTCACAAATCGGCTTTTTCGGTAATTTTCGGCTCGATTATATAAAAATCAGTGAGTATAACTTTTCCAAATTATTTTCATGGTATTTTCAAAAATTTTGTTTTCATTCTTTTTAATTCTTTTGCATGCACTTCACATGTTATCCTTATGCACATAACACACTTTTACATACATATGTTATGTTACACGTATTCATATACTCTAACATGAGTGTTATATAAGCACCAATATGCATTAAACTGGTAGTTTACATATAGTATAGAGTTGGAAATATTCTTTACTTTCATTTCACATTGGATATTTGAGTTTTTTATTGTATTTTATTGAAAAATTTCTGTTGCATCTTTTTTTTTTCTAAATTTTTATTCATACTCACTTTTTGTGTCGCACATACTGTATTTGGCAGTACACTTTACACATGTGTTATTTTTGCATATTTCGGAAAAAATTATGCAACAAAGTATACATATCCACACTCATCCACATAGCTATAGAATAAATTTCCTGTGTTTATTTTAATACTCACACATCCGTTAACTATGTGTGAATAGAATGATGTAAATGGCTTATCATATGATAAAATTAGGCAAAACAATTTAAAATTTGGAACCTGTTGAATGTTTTATGTACGTCAAAATAAAATATGTTGTGTAAACGAACATTTATACATACATTGGAATATGCAAGTAAATGATCGATTTCTTGCACAGCATATACATGTAGACTTAAATGAGTACTCACTTCAAATGTAAATACATATGTATGTATGAACCTACAAAAATAAATTTATTATTTAATATTACTTTAGAACATAGAAAGTTTGTAGATGTACATTTACAATGTTTAATAGGCATAGTACAAACACACGTACTATATGTACGTAAGTATGTATTTATATATTAAATTCTATTGGTTTTCTTCTTCTATGTGCGTATAATAGGTAGGTACTATTTTTTTTTTATTATTTATAAAAATTTAACAAAGACACGTCTTACAAAAGTCTGAACTTCTGGGAATTTTAGGAAAACTTTAATATTATAAGGATAGTATTGCAAATTTATTAACACTAGAACTACGAAGATTTACCATAAACCTATTTCTACCAACTGGTCATATTGCCTGGTTCGTAGTTCTAGTGTTAATAAGCAACTCAAACCCATATACTATTCTGTCCATGTCCTTCTATTAATTAACGTTCTATTAGTTATGAGAATATTATTAATGTTTTAAGTATGCGTAATTCAACCGCAATTGAATAAAAATGATAAAATAAATAAATAAAGCAGAATTTTCTATTTTAAATAGAAAATATCTAAATATTTTTCATCTACATGTCTTTTCAATTTCAATATGGAATTAAATGAAAAAAAAAAAATATTTAGAAAACTTTATTCAAAATTAAAAAATAATTAAATTGAAATTAAAATAAAAAGTACATAAAAATTTAAAAGTGTAACAAAATTTACCATTGAAAAAATAAAGTTTTAATATGATTTTGAAAAACTACGACCATGGTGATGACCAAACAATTTCATCGGATACAAAAAGTTTTCTAAATGATAAATACATCGATTATATGAAATTAAAGAAAAGTTTGAAAAAAATAAGACCAAAAAATCGAATATGCGAATTGGCACAACCAAAACATCATTCTTCTGAACCAGGCCCAATATTTGAAAAGAAATTTAAATTCAATAATCAAATTATAAATCTTGATGTTAGACCACGAACAAGATTAGAGCAATTAGCATTTCCAAGAGTACGGTAAATTTACCCTTTTCTTTGCATTTGTTTTTGATATTATATTGTCATGCATATATTATTTCACATCTTCACAAATTTATAGGAACCTCCTAAATACTCGTGATGCATTTCAATCTATTTATCATCCAGAAAGATATTCATATGTAAATCGATTAATAAGAAAAAGTTTATTTAGCCTATACAGTCATTTAGCAAATGTTCAAGCGCCTAAAGCTCCGTAAGTATACCAGCGCTTTTGTATATTGTGCAATTATCTAGGTAAGAACTTACATATTAAGCATTTTATAACTCATTACTAAAAATATACTAAACGCTAAACTGAAAAATAAAATTCTTAAATTATTTATCCACAATTAAGGGGAATTTTTTTTTGGTGCTATGTAAAATTTGAAAATTAATTATTATTGCCCTCTTATCCAATGTACATCGGAAATTATTGTTTAAGAGACTCGCTTCAATCATTTTTTATATACACAAAAAAAATTTCCAATACAATTTTTTCAAAAATAATAATCGCAGGTTTCGAAGTAGAGTGTGGTCGAAAAAAGATTGGAAAAAGCATACAAGAGCATTAAAGAAGCTATCAAAACCTAAACGAATATTTTTACCACAACGAATAGTAAGTAAATGTGTACATAAGTACATACATATATGATTAAATCACATCTTTTATCTCAATATTAAAAAACATAATATATATACATATGTGAATATATTATTCAGGAGACTCGTTTAATCCCACTTGAGGAACTTTTACCACGAATTAAAAAATTATGTAAGCCAAGAAAATTGTTTTTGCCTCCATCTATCTCATCACAGAAAAAAAAACCAGATTTAATAAGAATTTTTAACCTTGCAAAACCTAAGGAATTTGATGCTACTATTTTTATTAAACCTGAACCACCTATAATAGATCGAAATAAACCTTTTAAAGGTAATATGTAATATTCATATCGACAAAATGATAAATGCATGAATATCATAATATTAACTTAATTTTCATTCCTAAACAGCAAAAAAACGAACTTTAGAGTTAGCGGAACCAAAAGATAGATCAACAGCTGAATCAGATATGAAAGAAAATCCATTTCAAGTTGCACCAAATGCTTTGAAATTTAAGTTGAAAGATGGAGGACGATTAGTTTATTTAGCTAAGCCCAAAGAAAACGAGGAACCTTCTCTTAATCCTTATGCTTTCACTGTAAAGAAAAAAGCATTGAAAGCAAAAACAACAAAACGAACGAAAGAATTAGCTAAACCTAGAATAATTAAATCGTTATGAGATTGTTTTTACTTGAAAAAATGAATAATACTGATGAAATGAATATCAAGATCTAGTTTTGATATTGTTAGCGACAAAAGTAGTTTTCTTTTTAGATGAAATAGTATTCAAGTAGGTTTTAAAAATTCAGTATTAATTTTTACATTTTCATTATACAAATTTTTAATAAAACTTTTGGAGAATAAAAAAATCAAAAAATTTAATTTTAGAAATTTATTTTTAAATAACAAAATAAATAAACTTTAAAAATAACAACGTTTTTAAAGCATAAATATTGTCCAGTAAAGATTTTATTGGTATATACGCCAAAAGTATGGTGGTAAATACAATTTTAAAATTTTAAATTAATTAAAACGTACAATTGTTTTAAATTAAAATAACTTGAAAATAAACATTTAATTTTGATGAGATAATAATTTACGGAACCAGCCAATAACAATTTTTTTTTAGTTAAATCCCTAACTTTTTACTTTAGATGTCAGATCAAAATTATTCAATATTATGAATTACAGCATGCGTAAATTCTTGAGTAGTCGACTGTCCACCCAAATCTTTGGTTTTTATTTTTCCGTCTGATAAAACTTTAAATATGGCATTTTGAAGCCGCTCACTATGCTCGTTAAGATTAATATGACGTAAAAGTTTTGTACCACAAAGAAACATAGCAGTTGGATTTGCTACATTTTTACCAACAGCTTCAGCAAAAGTATGTCTTGCTCCCTAAAAGCAAAATAAAAAAAAAATTTAAAATGATTTTAAGTTTTAAAAAAATTTATTACTTACTGGTTCAAATACTACAGTATCTGCCGAATAAGAAGCTCCAGCAACGACACCAGCACCTCCTACTAAACCGCAAGCAATATTATCAACAATGCTACCATAAAGATTCGGAGTAACCATTACATCAAACTGTCATAAAAAATAAAAATATGAGAAATGTTTCTTGCGAAAGTTAGAAGAGAAAAATTTATTTCATTTACATACTTGATTTGGGTTTGAAACTATTTGCATAGTGGTGTTGTCAACAATCATTTTGTCAAATGCGATTCTTGGATATAATTTGGATATTTCTTCAACACTTCTTAAAAATAAACCATCACCTAATTTCATAATATTGGCTTTATGGATAGCTGTAACCTTCTTACGCTTATTTTTGGTGGCATAATCAAAAGCAAACTTAGCAATTCGAGAAGACTTTTTAGCGGTGACTATTTTCAAACATTCCACAATTCCAGGAACTGACTCATGTTCCAAAGCAGAATATTCACCTTCAGTTTGTTCACGAATAATAACACAATCGATATTCTATAAAACGAATATCAACATTAATCAACAAATAAAAAAGAATTTTGCATTAATCTACCTTGTGTCTTGTATGTACCCCAGGTAAACTGCGGACATGTACAACATTAGCGTATAGATCAAGAGCTGTCCTTAACTTCATATTTAGTGATTGCAATTCTCCATCTACACTATAGCCGGGCGTTGCAAGAATTCCCTTTTGAGTATAAAATTATAAGCACTGAAGGGAATAAAGCAATTTTACAATAACTTACTTTGATGCAAATTTTGTTCTTTTGGATAGATTTTACGACATCTTCCAGTTTAGCGCTCATCATAGTATTAACTTCAGATAAAAAGAATGGTTCAAAATCAACAGGTACATCAGCGCCCTTTAAAAATAAACAAAAAAATGTTTTGGAAAAAACTTAAGTTGAAATTGAGTTGACTATTTGATGCTACATGTAGTACAAGAATCAACATAACAGACTTAACTCTTAATTAGAATAATGAAAGTTAAATAGATAAACATTATATTACAATATCGACAGATTGAATTGTGCATTAAAATGTTGAAAATACTCATTCAAATATTATGTACATAGGTATATTTATATGTAGATATTTTAATAATTTTAGAATTTTATCCTAGTAAACCTATTCTTTAATATATTATACTTTAATAAATTATACATAAGTATATTGAAAAGGCAGGTGTCTAACTGTTCTTAATTAATATTTTTATCAAGTCATTGTTAAAATCAATTTGTTTTTGAAAAATCTATTGATTTGAATATTCAGAAACAAACTGTGGGTAGGTAAGTACATCAAATTAATCCAAAATTTATAGCTGATGATATTTAATATGTGATCGCTTATTTAGCAATTACCTTGAAAATTTCAGTAAGTGCTTGAGTTAGTTCGGGACCTACACCGTCACCTGGAATCAATGTACATGTTGCCCTTTTCGAATCGGGATGCAGATCTGGTTCCTGAAATTACATTGAATATTTCATATGCGTTATGTAATTTAATTTGACTAGGAACAAATTACCGCAGCAGTAGATTGAACCGCACTAGTTTGGTGCAGGGAACGTGAAGTTGCAGCAGCGCTCTTGAATCAGAAGGAAAAAATATTAACCTCACCTTCTTATGTAAACACCTAATATGAAAAAATAATATCTCACTTGAAAAAGCACCCTATTTAGTGTCCTTGCCAAAAGCGACATATCCACAATTTTATCCTTTTGATTTTTTTCTAAATATTCAAAATTATATTCACTATTTTTTTAAATTAACTTATATGAAAATTATTGGAACAGATTTGTGGATAAGTATTACAGGAGGCTGCCGATCACCTAAAAAGCACTTACTGTCCTTTGACATATCTAATCAAAGATTTTAGGTTTATTGGGTGCTTTGACAGTTTAAGGAACTAAAAATTTCAATCGTATTGAGTTTGATACTAGGAAGTGTGAACAAAGCAAAATGAAATCAATCAATGTAAAAACCCTAATTATCTTATCAAACTAGCCAACTTCTTAACTTGTTTTAAACTAGAATTAACTTTTTAAATTTTTTATACCCAAAATATTAGTAATAAAATTATTGGATTGCGCATAAGCAATATATGAAGTAACTTCATTAGACTAAAATTAAATAAAAAACTTAACAAAATTTTAATTTTGGACAATCAGCTGATATTTCATTCCGTTGCTTTGTGAAGCTGTATGGCTTTCACAACAATAAAAATATGAAATTAAAACTAGTAGTAAAATAAAGAAATATTTTTCGTCTAAATTGAAGAGCAATTGAATTCCTATTTTCAGATAATCCTGACTTATCATTGTCTAAATATTCACATATTTTTAAATGAACGCCAGATTAAAAAAAATATTCTCAGTCCGAAGAAGGAGGCAACTAGAAAAAATTTGGGTTCAACGTTCCATTTAGTACGTCTAAATGGATTCTTTTACCCGTCTAATAAATTAAGTTTGTCTTTGACAAGTTTTAATTCCATTAAATTCAAATTTAGAATGGTTTGGTAGCTCTAAAAATATTGTTAAATGTCAAATCAATGTAGCGTACTGAAATTTACGTAAAAATAAAAAATTTCTATCAATCAAAACGCAATGTTCCGAAATATTATTTCTGTGGGTAAGTATATTTCAAATATTTACAAGTAACCGATAAAAAATTAATGAATAATTTTAGCGCAAAAACTGCCAGTAAAAACAATATTCAGAACAAAGCAATGTGTCCCTTGTAAGAGTGTCATGCTACAAAATTCGTTTACAAATTTGTGGAGTCGAAATATGTCTATTTTACAAAGGGATTTGTTTACTATCAAACCCGTGTACACACCTAACTCCATCACCTTCACTCAGCAACTTTTGAAACCACAAATTGCTATATTGAGCAACTCATCTCGAAGCGTAACAAAATTTTCTTTAAAAAAAGGGAAACGAAAAACTGTTAAATGTGTTCTGAAAAGGTTTAAACGCTTACATTGGGGTATATGGATTCGTACAAGGAGTGGTCGCCATAAAAAAATGTTTAAAAAATCTCCTGCACTTAAAAGACGTTTAAAGCAACATGTTTTTGTCAATGCACAGCAAAGCTGGTTATTAGATAGCATGGTTACAAATTATTGGCGTAAACCAAAATATTATGTCGACGATCCTTACGAACAGTATCACAAAAGAGAAGAATATTTTGCAACGAGGAAAAAACCACTTGAATATAAAACTAAATAAGGCAACATCTTTTATTAGACAATAAACAAATTAATAAATTCAAATGCACGATTTTCTTGTAATATCAAAAAATTTTGAATGTATTATTCACTGCTCTTAGTTTTCTCGCATACTTTATTAGAAATTTTTCCTATCCCCTCAATTTCACTTTCAACTACATCTCCGACTTTTAAAAATTCTGGTGGTTTACGATGAGCACCAACTCCACCAGGTGTTCCAGTTAAGATTACATCACCAGGTTCAAGAGTTATCATTCTTCAAAAGAGAAAAAAAATAATTCTACAATTTATATATAATTTAAATTAAAAAAAATTACTGAGATAAATATGATATCATTTCATCAATTTTGAAAATCATATTTGAAGTTTTTTGGTGTTGCTTCTCAATTCCATTTACTTTGCAGCTAATAGTTAAGTTTTCTGGATCTTCAATAATACTTTTATGTGCAATTGAAGGACCAAGAGGCAAGAAGGTGTCCATTGATTTCCCCAAAAGAAATTGTCCACCGTTTTTTTGTTTTTGCCAGTCCCTGGCTGTTATATCCTGAGCGATGGTATAACCAAAAATATAATCCATTGCTTTAAGCTTAGGTACATCTTTTGCTTTTTTTCCAATTATTACTGCCAATTCAACTTCGTAATCTAATGACTTAACCAATAGTTTTTAAATATGTTTACACACAACATAAAAATTAATTTAAAACTTACATTAGTTACAGGTGGATATAAAATATTATCTCCTGGACCAATTAAGCAATTAGAAAACTTACTAAAAAAAATTGGTTCCTTTGGTTTTTCTTTATTTTGCTCAATACAATGGTCAACATAATTTAATCCGATCGCTATACTACATTTATGTAGGTATATGTAAAAAAATTAATACATAAACAAAAAACAATATCAGTTTTACATTTTTTTTGGATTTGTTACAGGTGGTAGCAGTTTTATGTCTTCGGTTATCATTTCTTCCTGCAGCCCTCCTAATTTCTTATTTAATTCACTAATTTTGAAATTTTGTTCTATAAATTTAACCATTTCATTCGAACATCCTAGGTTTGCAGTTGATAAATCCCACATACGTTCGCAATTAAAATCAGCAACGCCCAAATATTTTTTTGGATCATTTTTCCTTAAAAACTGTATGAACCGCATTCCTTTTCTTTCAATAAATTATAAAGAATAAATGGGATTCAAGCAAAGAAATTGTGCAGAACAGTAAAATTATACTCACTGTTTTTATTAGCGAAAAATGTTTTGTAAAAATAATCTTGAAGCAAATTAGAACTTGTTCAACGTCATGTGTTTGTATTTACATTAAATAATGTAAATCTTTTGAAAGAGATGAAAATAGTAAAAAGAGTTAAATACTTGCTGACATCACAGAAATGTAATATAATATAGTTTCTAGTAGTATCAATTATCAATATTTGAGTATTCTACTTTACTGATAACAAAAGCTTATAGATATTGTCGAAATGAAACCTGAAACTTCAAAAATATGAAACACTTTTAAAATTTAAAATCGGTGTTATCGTTTAGGAAAATCCAGTTCAGTGAAAACTAAAATTTCACTTCAACCTGCAGCATCATGATTTTTATCGAATATTGCAATAATCCAATATCCAAACTCAATAAGCTCTCATTTTCTCTGTTTTACTAATTAAAATATAGTACATGATTTGTGCAATAAGATTATAAAATATGTGTTAAGATTGTAAAATATTTTTCAATGTTTTAGTAATGAAAAAGAACCACACGGTTGTATAAAATAAAATACACTACGGATATACCTGATTTACTTCATTTAAAGAAAAAGAACAATAAGAGAGCTGGCAGGCATGCAAAAAACATTAATTTTTTGTTAAAATTTTCTTAAAAGACAAATTTGAATTACAGATGTGTTCGAAAGACTCAAATGTGTAGTATGGTTGTAATAAAGTAACAAGCAGCAAATTGAACCTTTTGCGTTTGCTGCGTCTAGTTTAACTCAAGGAGACAATATTTAATGTTATTTTCATTTTTAGGTAAATGTCAGTCAGATAGTTTTGATGTGATTTTAGGAAGTAAAGGAACGGTACGGTACGGTGGTCTATCTTTATTGGCATTACAAATTTTAGTAAAATTTTAGTAAAATATTTACCGGTTGGATTGTGATCTAGTGTTAAAAAAATTTTTAAAAGTATTTAAGAATCATGTTTCGAGTTGCCTTAAAACAACCTTGCAAGAATGCCATAAAGGTAAAAAGTTATTTTTGGTAGTGAAATAAAATAAGCATGTTATGTCATCCAAAATCTGAAAACTACATCTACTACACATTGTATATGAATATTAATATTTCTAGTCAATAAAAATTCAGCTACATAATTTAATTTACAAAATAAAGAAAAATTTATATTTGTAAAAATAAAGTGATTTTCACTTACCTCAGTTTTTCTTAATTTAATTAATGTTTTTTAAATAAAAACAAACTAATATACATACACACATATAGTGAAAATTTATACAAATAGAAGCATGAAGTGTACTTTTGTAGACCCTGCCTAGTAAAACTTGTTTAACATTTCCCAAATTAGTTAAAATACTATGCAAAGCATTTATTTTTATTAAAAACGTTTATTGTTGACACTTTTACAGAATACTGTGCGCACACCTTCAACAAGACAGTATCACAATCATAATAACAGACCATTAGAAGCTGGTCTTGGGAAGGTTATAGTTATTCTGTCCCCAGTAGCAATTGTTGGTGGAATTGCAGCTTACGCAAAGTAAATATATTGTTGTTTTTGATTGAAGCATAATCATTTTAATAAAAAAAATTTTAGATACGATAAAGAATTTAGAAAATCTGTGGAAGCAAATATTCCAGGTGCAGAATCGATATTAAAGATTTTGTTACAAGAGGAAAAGCCTTTCCAATCCGTTACACAAAAAATCGAGTCGATTAAATCAAGCACGGCAAATTTATTTGGGGGTGGAGAAACAAAAAGTAAATTAATATCTTTAATTTGAATGAGTTATTAAGTTTTTTCTTTTAATTAGAAGAAGTTTCAGAAGTCAAGTCTAGTCCTTCTGCTACGAAACCCGTAAGTTTATTTTATATCCTCTGTTATTTATTTTAATTAAGTGCTATATATTAAAATTAAAATAATTATTATTTAAGAAAGCACCAGAAAAAACTGACAAAGTTTCATCTAAAGAGGAACCAAAAAAATCTTTCACACCAGTACAAACTAAAAAAGTCAGCGAACAAATTCCATCAGATATAGTTGAAATAGAGAAAAAAGTTGAATTGGCAGCATCTTTAGCTGTTAAGGAATATAATAAAGCAATTAATATTTTGAAAACGTATATTGATAAATATATAATAATTTAGTTAATTATCAGTGTTTTTTAATAGCTATAATGAGGAAGTTCAGAAAGTTGTAGATGATGCAATAGAAAAAGTTGACTTGACCAGCTGGACAGCACTTAGAAACAAGACAGGTGCTCGAGATACTGCCGTTGAATCTGCCGAAAACGCGGCCAGAGATGCTTTACGTCAAATTGGTAATTTTTTAATTAATGAAGTACGCAATTCACAATCTTAAGAAAATGATTTTACATAGAATTATATCAGGCCGCTTTAATTAAACATGCATCAGCTATGAATCATGAAAAGCTGGATACTGTTCGAAACAAAATTAAGCAATATACAGATCATATTAATAACGTTAAAGATGAACTCTTTAGGACTAAAGATGCAGCCTCCCTATCAGAAAAATATTGGAAAAAGGTTATCAAATACATTTTACAAATTTTTTTAATAGCTTTACCATTTCAACCTTTCAGATTGAAAGTGCTAGAAATTATTATATAGACGAAATTGCTGCAATTTTTCCTGGTTTAAATTTAGCAGAGAAAAAACTTAATTTATCAAAAGATGACATAGATATATTCCTTATGCATGCTTATTCTCATGTTTTAGCGTATCAAAAAGAATTACAGCGTTTACAACTTGATGGTGAACTTCGTTTGAAGCGTGCTGTTGAAGCGCTTAGGGGAGACGATCAGAATGAAGCTGTGAAATCACAAATCGACTACCACCTTGAGAAAGAAAGACATAATTTTGCAATTGAAAATCAAAAGAAAATTTTCAAAATTCGTAGTGAAGCAGAAAAAGAATTACGAAAGCAATTGAAACAACAAGCAGAAGCTCATGTAGATCATATTAAAGATGCAGTGGCAGTTAAGGAGGCTGAACTGAAAAATAGTTTTTCACGCGAATTAGATGAAAAGCTATCCGCTGAGAAGGGAGCATATAAGTTACAGTTAGCTTCAATGTTAGGAAAACTTAAGGGGATGGATGCTGCATTGAAAGGTAATGTTGAAATATGTTACGTGTGTTTTATATCATGAAAAAAATTTATTTTATGCTCTCAGAAATTGATGAGGATTTAAAAGGTATAAGCTGCAATTAATGAAAATTGTAGTTTTAGTTAAATAAGTAATGTACAAAAAACCCGTAATAAATATTTAATACTAATATTTTTCATTGTAGAGCTAAATTTAAATATTTTTAAAATTAAGGAAAATAAATAAATAAAACAACTTTTAATAATTTCAGCTAGGGCAGAGTCAGAAAGGTGCGCACATCAAGCACAGTCTCTATGGGCGGCGTGTCAAGCCCTGTGGGGTTCAGTTAGAGCAGGAGAACCAGGTATCCATTGGCGTCAAAAATTGCGTCCATTGAAAAGCGAAATCAAAGCCGTTGAAAAAGCAGCAGGTAAACAAACAGGAATTAAACAGTTATAGGGAAATATATAAATGACTTTTATTTTAGCTGAAGGTGATGAATTAGTCGCGGTTGTTTTAAATAATTTACCAAAAGAAGCTTTAGAGCGTGGGGTTTATCCCGAAGATGCATTAAGAGAAAGATTTTTCAATGTTGAAAAAATAGCTCGCAAAGTAGCTTTAGTTCCAGAAAATGGTGGAAGTTTGTTTATGTATATGTTATCATATATTCAATCAGTTTTAATAATGCGGCCATCAGAATCGATCACAAAAGAGGAATTAAAAAATGAAAAATTTGATTTTCATAAGTTGGATACATATGAAATTCTTGATAGGGCTAGATATTTTATAGATCGTGGAGATCTAACTCAAACTTTAAAATATATGAACTTGTTACAAGGTGCTCCTAGAAAGCTTTCTTCAGATTGGATGAAAGAAGCGCGACTATTATTAGAAACACAACAAGCTGCTAATGTCTTAATGGCCCATGCGGCGGCCAGTGGTCTTTTATATTTATAATTTATTTCGTTATATGTAAATGCCGTATCTTATCAGTTCCAATCTAATATTATCCTAATTTATCTGATAAGTAACAGCAAAGTTAGATGAAATTGTGAATAATAAATTATAAGTGAAACATTGGTTTCAATTGTTTTAATTTGTTACGTATTAAGAGTTTTTTTTTGTTTTACCAGTTATATTTTATTTTTCTAATAGTTCTTTCTAAACCTATATAAGGAATAAAGTAAAGGAAAATATTGTTAAACATTTATAATTAAATAAATTATTTTACGATTTCCAGTACAAAGCCAATTTCTTTTGCTATTTCTTTCTAATTAAACTCAATTCGAAATTTTCTGTTGTTACTAAATATGATTCAACAGTTATTTGAAATTGCCGTGATTCTTCTCGATATTTTATAGTCTAAATAATTTTTCAGAATTTTTTGTGTATTGTTTTTGAAAAGAATTTATTAAAACTTAACAATAAATTAAAATTAATTGAGTATAGTAATGGTAAAGGTGATTTGCTGGATTTTCGTTTATGATAAATACATATTAATTTAATGCTAAAAAACTAAATAGTTTGCTAAATGGGTTTTAAATTACCATTACCTACTATTATTTGTTTTTTGTAATTTTTTTTCTATTCTGACTTTCCAAAAACTAAATCACTTAATTCATATTTCCATCTCATGTAAGCAACACACATGCGATCCCAAACATTTTCAAAAGAATCCATAGCCGGCCTGACGTCGAGAAGGGCAAACTTGTAATGGTGGTCTACTTCACCACCATCATAATAATCAATAACATAACGGACTTCTTTTCCACATCGATCAACAATCCAATCATGGCGATCAAAAGGTAATTCGTAACTAAATATTTAATGTGAAAATTTATTGAAGATTATAAATTTCGCTTAAACATCTTACCCAAGCCAGCTGCGTATTCTTGCCCGAGGACTAAAATCAGTTGCTTTTCCACCAAAACTTTTTAATTTAGGATTTCCACATTCATGAGCATGTAATGCTTCCCATTTAAGTACTTCCCTCCACGCTTGCTCATTATTTGCATTATGTATTTTTATAATGTCTGCCATATCTTTTTGTGTAACATCTTCGTCTTTCCAACGCCAACCTTTTCTTAACATTGCATTCCAAAACATTTGCTGACTAGGATATTGCCAATATTGCACAGAACCATCTTCGGTAACTTTCGGGATACTTGACGTTTGTCTATCAGTAGGTAAGCGAAAAGGTTGCCCAGGGGAAGGGTTTTGATTACCTGGCGGCATCATATTAAGCGGATTAACTTCTTTGTCATCATGTCTTATTGGGCATTCGGACACAAATTTTTCTGGTTTTTTTTGATGCATTGGACATTCCGGCGGTGGTTCTTTACTTAAATCAAACTTTGAGTGGGGATGTCCCTTTGGTAATGGAGGATGACCTTTTGGTAGAACTGGTTCTTCTTTGTAAATTGGTTGCACTATCTCAGATGCAATACTTTCTGCAGCTGAAACTGTATTGCCCATAATGAAATCGTATCTAAAAAAATATTATTTCAAGGTAGGTCTTTAAGGTTAAATTTGTATAAGTTAAAATTATTTTTATATTACGTAATTAAAAATTATATTTTTTTATAAATAACTATTAACATTAAAAAAGAATTAATAGAAAAAAATTACTGATTTTTTCTTTGAAATCACTTGTTTTTTTCAAAATTAAATAAAATATTACATTTTCAACCCACCACCTGCAACTCAATAATTTTTCATCTAAACAAAAGTTTGAGTGACAAATGACAATTAATTTATTGTTTGATTTTTCAATCAGGGATGTGATGAGCCTTTCTTTAAATTGTAAATTTCGGAGTCTTCAAAATAAATGGTAATATTGATAAATATCAAATAATTTTTATATTATTCAGTTACACATTTTCTACAACTATTTTTCGATAATAAAGATGAGTCGTCTGCCATGGGTACAGTTCTAAATAAGAATTGTACCGCATAAAAACTAAATATTTCTTTCCTGTAATTTTTGTTTGTTTTGACATTTCATACAAATAGGCGTTTTTTTAGCAGTATTACTTTCTTAACTGACAGATATTTTCAAAAATACTTTATTTACATTTAATTACTTAATTAAGAAAGTGAATTAAAAAACAAAAAAAAAAAACAATTTCATTAATTTCACAGTTTAGCAAAAGAGGTAAGAGTTAAATACGAATTGTGACATTGCTGAAATCACTTTTAAAGAGGTCTCCAAAAAAAATTTAACAATAACACAAAATATAAGTGAAAATTCATAATTAATTAGCACATTCTCCTTAATTTTCATAACCTTCTCGAATTTTTTCATATTCTGCGCAGGTAATTAGATGATCTAGCCACTAAATTTTATATTTTAATTATGCAAGCTTTAAATATAATATTTACAAATAAGTAAACGGTACATTTGCATTGTTGAAAGTATAAACAAGAAAAAAAATACAAAATGCATTGCGATATTAATGAAATAGGGAAACACCAACATTCAGATAAGTATTGCATACAATAGTGTTAACATATACGAATTATATAATCATTATCGATAAATGATATAAGTTAAAGCAATTATTAAATTTATGGCTACTAAACAAAAATCCAAAAATTCAAATAATTCAAGTATACGCATTTTTTATAAAATAATATATGAAATCATTATACAATAAAAAAAAATCTAGCTTTTCAACACGTTTTATACACGCATTCGAATCAAATCAAGTATCACATTTTTCATTTTATAAAAAAAACGAAAATTTCCATAATTAAAAATTAAAACAACTAATAAAATGCGTTTATGGGCACGTGTTTAAGATAAAAAATTTAATATATATTATTTTTATATATGTGTAAACATATGTATACATTTATTGCATGATTGTATTTCATAGTGTGATACAATTTCTTAGAATAATCAATTTCTGTAACCGTACAAGCTGCTATGTCATACTTGACAAGCTTAAAATTTCATTTGTATGGCCACAAAACAATTTTGCTGAAATTTAACATAACAAGCTGAACGTTATATAACGCACATTCGCCTGTCTAGAATATCTCAGAATTGGCCAAAACAACTATTGATTTTTGGAATATATTCTAAAAATGTTATTGTATATTATGTACATATGTAGAGATAATAATAATTTTTCATATTTTTTATATTCATATACATATGTATGTATGTATCAATAAACTTATTAAAAATTTAAATATTTTTTAATAATTTTTAAAATAAATAGTAATAGAATAAGAAATGAATAAACAATGTTTAAGCATGCGAACCAAAAATTTTGCATAAACAAATGCACATGTGGAATAAAAATATATGTATATAAGTAGATATTAAAGTGAGTATATTATTTAAATTTTGTACTACATATGTAGGTATTTGGACATAAATTTTTAAAATATTCTAGACGTACATGTAATTCCCAAAATGGTTTACCATATTTCTTATATTTTTTTATTGTCCATTTAAAATAGTTTATCTATTTACATAATTGGACATATACATACATACTCATACATATTATAATTTATATATTATAGTTTACTATTTAGTTTAAGCTCCTTCATATTATGCAGGTACTTTTCCAAAATACACGTGTCTTATACTAAAATGAATTATTGCATGCAAATGTACATTATATTACACACATTTATACATATTATATTACACAAATTGCTTTTACTATAAATTTGTGTCTATATGTTTGTAATATTTCATAACTACAAATACACGTAATAATGAGTTCGTAATAATATTTATTATGGGCATAAAGATGTGTATACACAACATGCTTTATTTAAATTTGTAAATGATTTTTGCATATAAATACTATAGTGTGCACTGCAGGCATACTGTTGATATAAATTAGCGTAATATATCGTACATAGGCGGTGTGCAAATGCACATGTTCGTATACATTTTTATTACAGGTCTCATGTATACAGAAAATGTGGTAAAATTTTTTACATAAATCTGTAATAAGTTATTGAATAAGTTCGGAGCAAATCAAAAATAATTGTCTTCACAAAAAATACTTATGTATGCATATATGTACATATGTAAATAGTTATATTGCAATGGTATTATGTGAATGTTGAAAAATTTGTTTTTTCTTCTTTTTACAATTTAAAAAGATTTTAGATTAAACCAGAACCATTTATTATTTAATAAACATTTCATTTACATGTTTTAAGGGTCAGAAATTAAAATTTAGAAAAACAATGGAATAATAAAAGAAAAACTTCATACTTGTATACTTGTTCGTTTTGTATTAAAACCTCAAAAGCATGTTGAAACGGCAGAATCTGAAAATTCATAAGAGACTTCTGCCGTTTCAACAGAATAAATTCAACATTGTAAATTATTTTATCGATTGTTTTTTTTAGAAAAATAAAAACAAAATTAAAGTATTGAAAAAAATTAATTGTATTTTTTAAATTTGAAATTTAAATTTTAAGGAACAATAAATATATATGTATACCAGTATACATGTATATCTTTCATATATTTTATTTTAAATGTCAACACGAGAAGTTAACCGTTAAATAAAAAAATACACTCCTATACGAGTCACTCACAAAAACACGTTTGTGCACATTACTCCTTACATATAGGAGTACACACACATGCACATTCATATAAACAAATATTAGAGCATAAAATATACATATGTCTAATATTTGATTGAAATTAAATTTTGATATTCTACAGCAAGGTTGACAAGCAGCATCATTCGAATCACACGCTTTTCTTTACACCTGAGTTCTCTTTTCATCGTTCCGTTTTAAATGCTTTTTAAATTACTGAAATGAAAGCGGAAGTACAACGCTATAACAAATTTCATTTCCTTCCAAGTTACGAATGATATGACTCAAATGGAGTCTTGGAGCAAACAATTTGCACATTCATTACTAGGGATATAATTTGTAAGCTGGATTTTTGGATAAGCTAATGTTTTAATATGTTATGTTTGAAATTTAAAAAAAAATGGCGCGGAATATGAAAAGCTTGAAAATGGAATAGAAAGAATAAAAATGTTGTTAATTTGATTTTAAATGAACCAAACACCTTTTAATAATAAAATCTATATAATGAAAGTAATTTAATGGCAAATATTCATTTATAATTTTTCTGCGCCACAATTTCATTTTAAAAATAGAAATAATATCACAATAATAATATGTGGGTAAACACAAATTTTGTACAGAGTGTATACGATAGTGAAAAAATTAATATAAGATACCGCGTTACAGAATTTATTTTAAAAGTTTTTGCAGTAATCAGAAAGAGGAACAATTATCTATTTCATCTTTTATTTTATAATATCATGCATTGTTAAATTTTATTTAAAAAATTTGGTTTATCTAATACATATACCTTCAACATAATACATCTGACATTAAAAGTGTTACCTTATGTGTGGATTAATTTTCTATTATTATGCATAATTCAGCAACTGGCTCTTATGAGCTAAATTATTTTGTAACTATGAGTATCCTCATACAGAGTTGCTAGATTGAAAATGCAGTAATTCTGTATGGATATACATATGTGAGAAATGTTAACACGAAAACTTTAGGACATTCCAACTATACTTATACCTCACATTACATACATATGTGGGTACATATCTTCAAATATAAAAATGAAAGTAATTGAACTAATATGGAATATATATGTACATAGTATTTAAAACATTTAAATATATAAAAACGCAAATGAATACAATGAGCTGTTATGATAGTTTCTAAAGTTTATACAAATATAAAATGCAAATATTCTTACATTTTCCTCAAAACGTTTTGTGAGGACCTGCATTGCCCATGACATCATGATAAAAATGATGTACTAGAACTTAACAATTATACATACATACATAATATGTACATATATGTACATTAAAAGTTATTTAATTTTGCAATTATCTTTCGAAAAGCATATAAACAAAATTTTTATTTGCATTTATGCTAATAATTATACCATCGATACCAACATTAACACAGGATGCAGATTGTATGAGTACCTACTTCAAATGGGTATCAATCTCTATTTACATTTTATTTTTTCATATACATAGGCATACATAATAATAATGTATGTATGTATACTAAATGAATTGTGTGATTTATTATTTTTTCTTGCCAACACCTAAGCTAATTTCCTATAATATTACGTATATTTAGCTATACATACATATGTCAGTTCGAGTCACAGTTTACATATGTATAAATAACAAAACAGTAAAATAAAATTAAATTTAAAAAAAAAAACATTAAATCGCCAAATTGTTAATTCATTACTTCACACAATTTTCATTCCTATTTCATGACACTTAAAAAGCTTAGTTACCTCAACAAACACTTTTTTTTATTATTTTGTTACCATTTATACCAGAAAAACAATGTTGCAGAAAAATTGATGCACACTCATTCACTCATATACATACTCATTCACACACTATATGTATATAATAGCACATTTTGTTATATAAAAATAAAAATATAAAGAAAACTATGAATAAAACGAAAACAAAAAAAAAACAATTTGAAACTAACAGTCACACATATAACAAAATAAAAAAATAAAGTTTTTTCTTTCATTCCATCGCAAGCATTTTTTAACACGTGACTTCAATGAAAAAGAACATAAAATGAACTCAAAAATGAATATGAACACGCTGGAGTCGCGTGAGACATGACGTCAACACTATAAAAAAAAATG